CTCTACAGGAGATTTACTGTCCGAAAAATAAAGTTGCTACAGTTAACTATTTGCAGATAAAACATTGACTAAAAATGCTTACTCAGCATTTTTCCAAAACTTTGGTCGGCAATATTTCAGCAGCAATTGACCGTACGTGATTATCGTAATATAGTTTTTTTGAACACATGCGATGCTCTATCTGGCAGTATTGTCAAATTTTTGAATTTCCAAACTTTTTAGTTTTCTCATCTATGGATGACGTCATACATAGATAAAAGCAATTTTCTCGAGACTTGCATGTTTTCCGAAGTACAACATTGATGTTTTACCATGGAAATGGATACACTCAACATATAATGAAATCAAAATATGGTCTCCGTGGGGGGGAAACGAAACTTGCTTTCCAGCTTCATTCTCGTGAGTGGCTGACGGCCTATATTAATTAAAATCGCAATCCGTGGGATCTCATTACGCATTCAAAGTGCATCACTGGATTGTAAAATTGAGGTGCCAAAATGATAAAACAACTAGCCTACGATCAGGGCCTCCTGGGTTGTGGACGGTGTGAAGAAAAGAGGGCCTGTATACGGAACCAAATGTCTAAATTTTCTTCGTCGTAGTGTTTGTATGGAAACGCAGGCTCCTGATCGGCTTGCACCGGTTGACAAAATCAGGACAAAATGTACTAAAAATAGCAGATGTATACAAAATGGAAACTGAAAGCAATAGCATGGTATAACAGCAGAAAACTATCTCGTAAATGCACACTAACTGAAGTAAAATCCAACATGCCACGCCATTTTCACGTCCTTGTCGACGTCGCGTTGTGTTAACTAAAGCAGTCTAATAATATACGAAGTAGATTCATATTACGGAACTCACCGAACTGTGAAATCACATAAAAAATTCGTATCGCCGCCACCCCTACAAACGTCTACGACCGCACCTATATATTTTTGCATGTTTACAATTCTAATTTTAAACAGCTAATCAACGTTTAATTGTAATTGTTACCAAGAACCGGATTGCCTGTTTAAATTGTAAACATGTAAAAATATGTAGGTGCGGTCGTAGACGTTTGTGCGAGTGGCGGCTCGATATATTAATAAAAACAAAATACAAGAATTGCGATAACAAACGCTACGCTATATGTCGAACAAATCCGCGTGACCTATGTCCGAATATGCACAGCTCTCTCGAAGTCGGCATTATCAACACTCAAGGCACGTTCTAATTGTTGCTCTGCCTGAGGAAGTGGTTCCCGGTATACAGTTGTTCGGGACGCTGTTCATCTGGTGGAACAGGTTCAGCTGGTACTTCAAGAACTGTTCATTTGGCACTTCGGTCATCAGACCACAGAGTGTTCATGTCTTTAGCCCTAAAAAAAATACCTGTGGTTCCGGTTCCCGACCGACCATATTTTTTCTGCCTACCCTATTATTTTTTCAACACGATTGACCTATTTCTCCGGGTGGTTGCAGGCTGCTCATACAGCGTACCAAAATGACGTCCGTTGTCACACTAATTATTGAACCAAATTGCCTAAAATCCTCCACAGCAAATACGCATCTCTAGTTAATATTGATGTCGGGACTCTACTGCAAATCGCCCAGCAAAAAACCGCCAAAACTATGAAAAATGTATTCAAAAAAATTATTTCCGACCTACCAACCCTAATTTTTTCACGATATGAAACCGGAACCACAAGTATTTTTTTAAGCCTTATATGCATGTTTATTACACATTCCGCATTTTTATTACTCCCTAAATACTTATTAGATATTATTTGCACTATTTTAATTTGGGGATAGGTAATGGGACCTCTACATGCGTCTGGAACCTCTCGTCTGGGGCTTACTTGTAAGTATTATTTATTTAACGGATTTCTTATATCTTCAACGGGGTGCAATTCCGGAATCGCAGGGCCGTAGGTTCAATTCCAACCAGAGGACCTTGTGCTGCATTTTTCGCAGTCGTTCCTGGTCAGGTCTAAAAGTGTATATACACTCACTATTACAAACCCTAAAAACAGCATTCTAATATTACTGAGTGAAGTGCAGAAAACCAGATCATTGACGTCCTGTCAATATACCCATATTTCAATGTTTATGTTGAAATGACCCATCTTCTTTGAGGTATAGCTTAAAAATTAGGGTATGCTCATCACTTGAAACTAGCTTTAAATCAAAGTTTTATCTATAACTTTTTATTAGAATTAAAATCATTCATGGGAAAAATGTGCCAAAGGTTGAAATTGCCCTTGTAAATGTACACTATTTTTGACATGTTTGGGTTAGTATTTTGAAAAGGTGTTCTGGAAGGAAAATATGTCTTGAATAATACTGGTTGACCCTTAAATTATAACTAGTGTTATGTAAATCACAGAAAATTGGAAAAAAATCTGGTCCATACACAATATTTTGGATTCTCTGAGGTTCCGAATGAGGCTAATTTCAATGTTGAATCTGTTTACCTGGAAAATTGAATAAGTCAAGAATTTGACTATGCTCATCGCCCAAAACCAGGTTTTCTAATTGCTGTTTCACCTGGGTTTGTGGCAATACCAGTTAAGCGACCATAAAAAATGCGCGCGGCACTTTTTTTGGACACTGAAGATGGTAACATTTGATGTTCTCCTATATTGCCATCCTTTTATCATAGTATAACTTAACTTATTTTAGTGAGTTTATTAAAGAGTTGTGCTCACTGTATGCCTGTAGTATCTAAGATATTTTTTATGGCAGTATATGATAAATTTAAGTTCTGTTTTCTTTTATTTTAAGGTGATAAGATCTGTTCACTTGGGTGTTGGTATCAAATTTTGGTCAAGTTTCAATTATTATTTCACATTCCTTTATTCAAATATCCAAATAAATGGAATATGACATCAAGCTGGAGGACTAGATCCTGTTTCCAAACTTGTTTTTGTAAAAATAGAAAATAACAACTTATTCCGTGTTATTTGCTGTATTGGTGTAATGTACTCAGGTGAATAAGATGCTTGTGTGATGTTACTCTGAGTGTATATCCACACCGGGCAGGCCCGAAAAATATGCCTGGCCACGGTGGGATTCGAACCTACGACCCCTGGAACACCAGCCCAATGCTCTGCCAACTGAGCCACGCGGTCAGGCCGGTTCGAGTATGCGATATTTCTGAACTGAGTCTAGTTCCTCTATTTGTTAAGGAAACAGCTTCCTACAGTGCAATACACATGGGAAAGTGTAAAATTTCTCACTACTTTAGCAAGCTGTGATTCACAATCGCAAATATTTGGTTACAACCTACGAAGCTTATTAAAATGATATTCAGTCATATACGAGTATTAATACGACGGTCTTTAAAGTGCGAACTGTCTTGTGCAATAATGTTAAAAGTTGACTCTGAGGTCTCCTTTTATAAATAGACATAAACTACAGATGATCACGTACCACAGAGTCACAGACTATATTTTTTTGAAAGAGGGATTTAGGTTTTGTGTTATGTACCAACTTATTTAAATATGTACAGTATAAGCTGGAGGTGCTAGCTTTCTGGTTGGGGATACCTCTTGATTTTTGTGTCATTATAGAGGCTTGAGATAAATCACACTTTTCCCTAAGCCGAGGTTTAGCCGAAGTGTGCCAAGGCGTGCATGTGCGATCACACCTCATTTCTCAGTAAATATCACTCAACTGTAAAGTGCACTCATAGTTCTGATTTAAGCTGAGGAGTTAGGCCACATTCTTTTATTTACCTTGGTCATATACTAAGTAATGTTACGTGGATAATTGTACAACCTGTATAATTAATCTATTCTTGTTTATTGCAGATTTATTCCACAATGACACTCTCTCCTTTCTGGGTGGTAAAACACAGCAGCAAGCCACATCTGTGCTCTGTTATAAAAATTTACACTTAAATAAAGTTATTATAATCATATAATTATTTATTATGTTGTTATGGTATTATAATTATAACTTCATTTTGATGTTCTGCATGTTGTCTTCCATGTTGATGCCTGTGCCATCTCTTGTGTTGCTTTATAAACACATAATTTCTGCAAAATAAAAGATGACATTATCATGATACATTTATATAGTTATTACATCTTTATACACCATGAAAATGAAAAATATCATATGCATGTATATATATAGAGGATATTACACAGCAGTGCGAAGATATGATTTTTATCTTCAAGTGGTGAAAACAATATTTTACGAATGAGCACAGCGAGTGAGTAAAATATTGTTTTTAACACAAGCAGATAAAAGTCATATCTTCAAGCCACCGTGTAATGTTCTGTTTATTATATGGTTTATTATAAATTTCACGCTCAAAAGCAAATTGGAAAAAGTCACATGATCGATATCTTCACTAGTGAAGATATGGAAAATATCTCACTCAGTATCTCACTCTCTACTGTATAATAAATACACATATATTAACCCTTCAAGTGGCAATGTGTCTTGATAATGCCTTACTGTATTATTTTCATCTATCTAATGTCAGACAACTATACTAGTCAAGGGGAGAGTGCTGCCACTATGGTGCAATATATGATCTGTTTTTACCAAAACCATAATGATCCCAAACTTCAAAATTAAGTGTCATGTTTTCAGATTCAGGAATGCAATTCTATTATTAGCAAATTTCATCATAGTTTCTCACAGACCAATCAGACATCACCTCTTCCAATGTTAGAAATGTTGTAGCATATTCTGAATTTACCTGGTTAGTGCATCGATAGTGACTCATTATCCCAACAGCTTGTGGGCAACATTTTTTCTTGCCATGTAACTATCACATCATACTGTGCATGTAGTTCTGAACAGACAATGGCAAAGTGAGTATCTATTCTACCCCAAGACTCTTACCGTTTAGTAAAATAAGAATGTAGGGTTCATTTGGGCACATTGCTGCTTAATGGGCTGACTATATCTCAGGGGCTGCTCATTGGCAGATAGTATATTTAACCCACTGAGTGGCAGCAGTGAGCAGTCTCCCCTTAAAATCGTCTGGCATTAGACAGACAGTGTAAAACAAAAAAGACAGTCTTTAGGGTTCATCAGGACAGGCATATATTGCCACACGTAGGTGGGCCTCCTCTACTCAAACCTCTCTGATCTCGTGGTTTTGTGCTTATCTATATATATATATATTAATCCTGCACTATATGATGGGCAAGTATAAAAATTTGACACCTTATAAACATGTAAAAACAACCACAATATAAATTACAAGTATTAAGAACTGGCAGTCTGGCAATAAAACCACAAAGACCAGTGCTGACACAAAACAACATAATTTCATGCACACAGTATCTAATCATTAACAATATTTTTATGTCTGCTATTGAAATATTTGCTGTATATATTAATAGGATGATGAGTTTTTGACATATGACTGTGAGTGATATATGACCATGCAAGTCCCTAGAAAGTTAAAAAAAGTTTCGTGAATCTTACCTGGAAGAATTAGTCTTTCTTTGCAGTGAAGTGCTGCATCCACAAGCGAAGCAAACCCGCATCCTTCCTTTGCGTTGTAAAACAAGTAATGTGCGATGGAAATATTAAAATTTTTTAGCTCAAAAACAACAGAAAACTTGAAATATCTTTAATATTTCTGTGCAAAAACCAGGGGGGTTAAGGACATCGTCGGAAGCTTAGGATCGCGGTTGGTCAGTGGCAGTTACCATGAAAATTTCGGACGTGTTGTCATGGAAATGGCGTAAGATCCGCCATGTTTTTGGCGACACTTTTTTATGCCGAGCAGGTCCTCCAGTAATATAGTATAGCTCAGTGGTCATGTCTGATCACGGAGCATAGCTACGGCGGAAGGATCATTTAGGGGGATAATCCCAACCCAACCTGTCAACATTCCCTGTGGGAGGAAACCGGAGTACCTAAAGAAAACCCACGACTCTTTTCACATAAGTCTCATTAGTCCGTATAGCGAGGATCGAACCCACGATCTCAGAGGTGAAAGGTGCTTGTTCAGACGATTACGCCATGCACCGAAGCCCCAAAATTGAATAATGCTGTGATTGTGTATTGGGGCAATAGCATACCTCACAGAGTCTTGGGTTGACCGTGCCTGTGAAGTACGTTAGCGGAGTGTATCGAATTTTCCTAACTATGTTTAAAAGTGCGAAACAAAATTTTACCTGATTTCCAAGAAGCCCATGGCAGTACGAGGCACCCAATAACTCCCCAGAAATTCTGCCCATCGTATCTAGACACAGATTAGTTTCTGGATTGCGTACCTGTGTTAAAAAAGCATTTGATCAGTACGCTGTGGATGCTCTCAATTTAAAATGATAAATTTGTAATATCCGAATTTCCTCAAACACAATTCCACAACACCAGAGCTTCACTCATCAATTGTTAGTAAATTACATAAAATAAGTCAATCAAATAACGTATTTATTAGTTAGCAATCCTGCTTTGCCTTCCCTAAATGCGGATGGATGCAAGGAGAAAGAGGACCAGACACAAATCCCTGTCTAAAACCGCATGTAAAAAGCCAAACTCCGACTGGTCTATCAGAAATTCAATCTGTCTTTTGATCGTTTAAAGGACAATGACAACGAAAATTTTTATTGGCTATTTCAATCCTACTTGACGACCTAACTATGACAATATTATCATTTCCTTCTCGAATATTTTAGTCTACGAGTAAAATGCTTGTAAACTTTGTGTTTCGCCGCCATCTTGGAAAATATTTTTGAAAAATTATCTCCAAGGTCAATGAACTTTGTGACGTCATTAGATGGGTAGCACCAAAACTACAAGAGAGAACTCTATCGCGTGCGTGTTGTGTTAGCTAAAAATTTGAGCGTTATACTGGCCAACACTCTTCGCAATTAAACACGAGAAGTCTATATACTATGAGATAAAAACATATCGAGCGACTGGGAAAGCAAGGAATGGTGCAATTTACAATTCCGGTAATTGATCATAAAATATTGCATTAGTATTTGCCTTGTTACACTCAAATTTCTGCGTTTATTTAACACGTAGTAGGATATATATATTATGGGAAATAGTGTTACAAACAAGTTACATACTTGCTAAAAAGTTTCTGCCTTTTGTTTTGGCTCAAAGTGCACTACGCGTGGTAATACTCGGTATTGTTTATGGTCATGAAATTGTGTTTACCCACCCAATGACGTCGAATAATGCATAAATTAGCATACATGTTTATTTTCAAAATGGCGGACAACTGTTGAACTTTTTATTAAATTTTCTCAACAACTAAACGCGACAAACCGGCCAAAATATGAAATTAAATATTCCGTAAGTATACCTAATAGATATAAGTAATAAAAATTTTGGTTGCCAATGCCTTTAACATGCATGCACGTATGCATCAACTCCTCGTCTTTACTTTCCTGAACACTTTTTTAACATTAAGAATTCTAAATTACGCCAACACTGAACATATGCATGCTCGTATTGCTCGCGTCATGTTAGCCATGGCATGATGGCAACACGAATACACGAGCATTGTTTCTTCTCCATTTTTTGTGTAAAACGGCGAGAAATGAATATAGTTTAACACTTTTAACTATTAATTTCTAAAATTTATATTAAAATTAGCTCCGTTTTTTCATCAACAAGCTTGAATTTAAGATAAAATTCAAACTTAAACACTTCACGAAATGTTCATTAAACTTCAGCCAGTTTATTTTGTCAGTTCACACAAAAGACGGCAACGAATATGAGCCAACATCACTTCGAAGTGTGGTGGCTAGCTTCGAGCGACATTTGAGAAGTAACAAATATATATCCTTCTACCATAACGTTCCCACTATATATATTTTAGAAATTACTAGTTCGATATATAGAAAAGTTAAACTTCATTAATATTTTTTGGCGGTTTGCACAAAAAATGAAAACGCTGCATCTAGATGCCTGGCAGTCATTAGTATTCAGAATAAACAAAAAAACAGCTCATAATATATCTTAGCAATATAAAAAGGCCGGTTATTTCGCGATGAGTTTCAGCGAGCTTGTTAGTAGTTCAAAGCATGGGATCAATTCCGCTTCGTGTTCTTCATTTCAAGTTCGTTTTAGAATTTTTCCCAACCAGTTTTAATTCCAGTTTTAATTCTCTTCGGCCTTTACGGTCGTGCCAATAGAAGCGTTCCGAAAAATGTTGATCAATTCATTTCCTAACTTCGAGGAGTTCCTCTGAACAATTCCTCAACAATTTGATAAGTTTCTTAAAAAGTTCCTAACTTCCTGTGTCATTGACCAATCAGATTTTATATTTTATTTTTGAGCAATCTGATTGGTCAATGAAACAGAAAGTTAGGAACTTTTTAAGGAACTTATCAAATTGTTGAGGAATTGTTCAGAGGAATTCCTCGAAGTTATAGGAAATGAATTGATCAACATTTTTCGGAACGCTTCTATTGCACGACTGTAATTTATTAATTAAGTTGGCATTGCTAACATGACGCGAGCAACACGAGCCTGCGGGTCATTGGTGGCGAAATTTAGAATATTTCATGTTAAAATGTTTAGAAACAAAGGCGAGGGGTTGATTCATGCATGTATTTCTTCTAGTTAGATTGTTGTTGTTCAGTTATGTGAAATTGACAGATGATTGCGATTGGATCATAAATATAAAATTTTCATGTGGGTGGTTGAAGAACGAGCATGATATTCATTAGGACATTTTATTCGTTCAGGCATTTTATTCAAAGAGTGGCACATTTTCAGGGGTGACTTAACGTATCACAGTCACTAAATATGCCCTGCATATCATGCACCAAGCAGTCTGGCAAATGATTTCGTTAGACTATTAGAACTAAATATCTCACCTGGGAATAGCTCCTTGACAAGCCATAGTCTAGAGACACGGTATCATTCGCAACATTTTCTAAGTACCATTTGAAGGTCTTGCATTTCAGCTCCTTTCGAAGAGCAATTCTTTGAGAAATATCCCCAAACTCTTTCACGAGTTTTAAACTTGGACGACGGTCATAGAGCCAAAATTTATATTCGTCCATCCATACTTCGGCGACTCGGCGAAAGTTAATTGAAACCGCGTTAGGTTTTGGGTAAGTATAAGGGACATTTCGTCTGTACACATGGCCAACACGGGAACACGGAATATTAGCCATTCTACCACCGCACATCCAAATCTAAATAAGTAAATAAAAGATACTTAGGTAATTATGTGGTGGCACGAGCACAATAGACCCATTGCACATGACACAGCAACCTCGTTCCCAGGCTCTTTGCTCTTGGGAAGCAAAGACCCTGGTCGGGGCTGATGACGCCACACCCAGACTCTGGGGGTAAACGTATAATATGACTATGGGTCGGGAGGTAGAGGAGCGTGTTTGTTGCGTTTTGAAAATTGCAACTTTATGTGTTATAATTTCGGGTGATAAAAATGTAATTTGCAACAAGAGATTGTGAAAGGAACGTTCTAGATTCGTACTGATCATGACAAGACTTCCTGCTATACTGAATGTTTGAATGTCATCAATAATAAGTGTCGCGTTACATTTCAAGCGAGAAGCTGGATCATATTTCACTTGCAAGGAAAACACTCCACACGCGACTGGTTTGCGAAGTTTAGCACGTATCGCCGTAGAAACATACATATTTTCTACACAGACTGATCGATCAAACGGTATTAAACGAACGATATGGTTCTTTATAGTTGAAGTGTATCCTGTCCGATATTCAAAACAAAAGATTTATTTTATAACGGGATCCTTTGATTTCCTTAACATCGCCAACATGTGTAAATAATAGTGCTATTTTGACTTTAAAAGCACAGAATTAATTTCATTTACATTGCTGAAACTCAACGATCAAGAAAGATAATGTCGAAGTGTAGCTAGCTATCTGTTATCACACAAACGCCAAGACTCCTCCGTGCGTTTCCGTGCGTGCGGTACATCTTGAATATCTACGACGATATATGCACCAGACTGAGACACTGGTATTGTACTTTATATAAATTATTTCATATTTTGTGTATACAGTAATTTGCAACATGTATAATATTAGACCTTTCATTGACATTGGCATTGTCCATTGAGGGCTTTATTGAAGAATAATCCAGCTTCTTTAGACTTGTATAATGGATTAATGCCGCTGTGAGTTATCAATATTTAAATCAACTTTAATATTTATCGTATTCCGTAACCAATATTTTAGAAGTTTAGTCTGTTTTACTAAACAATACTGGAGGCAAACAACCTAT